TTTTCTCTCCTAGTTTCCTCTCCTTATTTCCTCTCATCTTCTCCTCCTTTACCTACTAGCTTCCTCTCCTTATCTCATTTCCTTTCCTTTCCCCTTCTCTCTTTTTTATTTCATTGTTTCCTTTTTCTCATCTCCTCTCCTATAGTTGTATCCTCTCCTAATCTCCTCGTTTCCTCTCCTCCTCTGTCAGATATTTGTTCGTCCTCCTCCCTCACAGCTCCTCTGTGTCACAATCGGATATAAAATAGCAAATATTCACTCGTTTACTCGCGGGATCATTTGTATTTACTCACTTTACTCAGGCAAGAAACGCAAATATTCGCCCTTTAATATACCTGGTTTTACAACGACTTTTGCTGTAAAGTATGAAAGTCCATTTCTGTCTTTATAAGAGAAACTTTTTTAATTATAAGAATCTTTTTTTTCCCATCAAATGGGGTTCCATAATAAACGGATCAAAATGAAATGACTACAACATGATGGATAATGGCGGTGGATACTCTGTCCGGTTCTGTCTGGCAGGACGAAAGCAAACAGCTTTTAAAATGCTTGTTTTCCGAATGGAGACCAGAGAGACTCTCTGCTCCTCTTCCCCACATAAAACTGCAAAAAAACCTCCGATATGAGCACAAAAGGTTCTCAACTCACAAACGGGGAAAACGTTCCTCCCATCTCTTTGCATCCTTGCATTGACTTTGTATGAAATCTACTCGTTGGTTTTATTGGCTCAGGAAGAGCTACAGAGGAATCTTTCTCCCAGGACAGACAGAAGGATGTGTGACTCAATGATATAATGATTACATAATGATTTTAGAGTTTGTTCCAGCTGGTGACAGCGAGCACGGTGAAGTGCAATGGTTGCACTCTGCTGGAGTTCATGGATGTCGGTGGTGTCGAGGGTGGTTGCAGAGTAGCTGAAGCTCTGCACCAACTGGCTCACTGTGGATGGAGATGGGGCAGTGAAGTGTTTTAGTGCTGGTTTTAGTGTTCAGGAGCAGATGATTCTCCGATAGGATGTGTCATCTGAATATTTAAGACCTGCTCTCCACCATTGACTCCTGGAAGACGACCGGCCACACAGTGTGAACACATTCATGGTGTCGGTCTGTGCAGCGTCACAGCTGAACAATATGTCTCTTGTTTTGCAGGAAACTTCTCTCATGGGAATCATTCAGCATATCTGTGAGAAATTACAACATAAATTACATACACGCAGCATATGTAAACATGAAGCTTAAATTACGGCCGCTTCCAGAGATGAGAGCGCAAGGCGGTCAGAGGGGCGAGCAACGTCACGCTCAAACTCTGGAGTGTTTCAGGGGCTCCAGACTCTTTTATAAACATTTATTTTCTGTTGGATGATGAGCGGAGGAGACTGCTGCTGCTTTCCGTCCGTTGCATTACTCACTTTAATTTACTTTATTTGACTTCTTCTCAGAGGTCGACGACTCTCATTCAGCACAACAACCACCGTGAACACTTTATAATCAGCCATCAGAAAGACAAACACTGTATATATTTATGATTTGTTACCATGAAGACTTGTGCAACACGTTCTCACTCCCAAGTCGTCAAATATGGCAGCTCAGCCCCTACGCAAGTATAAAACACGAGACGGTCCGCGTATGGAGGCGGAGGTGGTGGTGGACGGGTCAAACCAACGATGCCGGTATGGTCAGAAATCGTGTGGTTTTCGTGTGGTTTTTGTGGTTGTACAGTTTCATGAGGTTGTGATTATCCTGGAGGTCACATGATCTCCTTTCTGGGCTCATTGACTCCAGAGGTTCAGCTTTCCAGTCAGGGTTTGGGTACTCATAGACCCCATCAGATAGCTTGAGGTCAGAGGTCAACGGATTGCTTTGAAAGTGACCTTTTTTAAACATATATTCTTCTTGACCTTTGCTCCTCCAGGGATCATAGGCCACTGACAAATGTTCTCCACCTCACTCCATTTCTTTAGTGTCAGAAGGTGTGTCAGATGGTAAGCGTCGTAGTTCGTTCCTCAACCAGGGCGTGTGATTAGATTTTCATTCATCAAAGTTCCTGTAACTCGCGGCCCCCCCAACCTGGAGGACCAGGGACTCTTTCATCTGCCTTCTAATGCTTGACCTGTCTGGTTTGGTTGAACCTGCTAAACCTCAAGGTTGTCACGTCAAAGTTGCAGTCTAGGAGCAGAGTTACTTGTTATGTACTCTTTGTTAAAGGAACTAGGACGATGCTAACATCCAGGTTGGACTACAAAAGTATTTGATGAGTTTGGAACAAGAACGTGAGACCTGGTTCCTACTTTTGACCCAAACAGGGTCACTTTGGCTTGTAATATAAGATCTAATGGGTTGTTTTGCTGCAGAATAAACAGGATTGGCCTGGTTTCTACTACTTCTGACCGTAGAACCAAGCAGGGATGTGAAACAGGACTAGATTGGGCCATATTGGTTTCAGCCATACTTTTCTTTCTCCTACAGGTCCAAACAGAACTACTCTGGTTTTTAAATTGGTGCCAAGACCAGAGTTTAGATTTTACCGTAGATCCAAGAAGGGATTTCAAACAGGAAACAATGACTGTCCAGCTTATTGTTCATGGAAGTCCATGGTGGCAGTCCCAAATAAATCTGAGGCATTCAGACTAATATCCTTTATTAAATGTATATATTCAACATGTTTTGACTGGGGGCTGAATTGGTTTCTAATTCAGGGCTACTATGGTTTCAACTTGACTTTGGTCCCGTTGTACAAACATTAGTTTGCAACACTTATGACCTTTTTCTCCTCTACAGGCCCAATCAGTGCGGGTTTAGTTTCCACAGCAGGACTTTTGGTTTTTCCCCGTTTGTTGATGCAATAGAGTTAATCTGATCAGTGTTTAATATCCACATTAACCAGGGAATGGGCAGATGTTACAGATGTGATAAATCTGTAAGGGAGAAGAACATTATGAACAGACCCATGTGTCTGCAGTGGGTTCAGAGGTCAGAGGTCAGAGAGACGGTGTTTGAACCTGCACTGTAAAATGACAGGGTTCAGGCAGAAACATCCAACAGGTCAAAAATTCTTCCAGAAAAAAGCTGGTTTGTTGTTGTTGAAAGTATATCTGAGGACCCTGATGCCCCCAGTGCTATGATCCATATTAGAAGTTGTGCTAAAAATGTATGTAAGTTAGCTTAGTGAGCTAGCGTTTCACTAACAATAGCTTTCAGATGTAACCAGTTAGCTAATGATTGATGTAAATTAGCTAGCTCGTTACCTAGCTACAGAACAAAATCCTAGCTAAGTATCTGTGACGTACAGCACGAGACCGATGGGATAAAAACACTTTAACAACAGTTTTGCCTTCATGGGAACCTGAGTGGTAAATATGTGTTTCTGAGAGTTTGTATTGTTTGTGTAATGTGCACTAATCTGTCTGTCCTGGCTCGGAGGGATTGATTGATGGAGAATTAAGATCTGAACTTGTGGAAACTGGCTGTGTCTGTGTGAGTGAGTGAGTGGCTGAAGTGTTTGGCAGGATGAAAGGATGATGATGAGGATGGATTGTGGGAACAGAGGGAGAGTTTTCTGCCAGCTGTAAGAGTCTGCAGTCAGTGTGGTGTCCCACTAACCTTTCAGCCTGTTCTCGCTGCGTCTGAGCTGCACAGCGACTACAATAGGATTATTATAGTGCTCCATGTTTTCCAGCAAACTGGCAGAAACGCAGAGTTTGACTGAAACTAGAGAGAAATACGACCTGTTTATGCTGTTTTCTATCTGTGGCTCCAAGCTGGAGGCCCAACGTGAAGCCTGTCGACAACACTGTAATTTAACATCAGATTGATGGGTAAACCTTTATTTTACAGTGGGCTAACTGGTATTAACTAGGAAAAACTTTTTAATGTTTAATTAAAGATATTTACACTGTAAAACCAATGCAGTAAGCTATAAATACTGGTGAACTCTGCTATAATACAAATAATGAGCCTTACATTTACAGCAGAGTGCTGTTATGTAATTTTTCTTATTTTAATCTGAATTTATAGAACTGTAATAAAAGTCATTATCTGTG